GGAAGCCCAAAATCTCTGTAAATGTTTATGAAAATTAATAAAATATAATTATAGAAAAAAAAAACCACAAAACTCTTCATCAGAATCACACACACACACAAAAAAAGAACTGCCTTCTATAAAAGTTTCATTGCTGTGACCTTTTCTAAGTAGATTGCCAGTCCTTTTTATCCAGGCTTCCTTTAATTGGGTTCAAACTGCCAACCTTTTGATGGATATCTGAGTATTTAGCTATTTGTGTCACCCAAAACTCCCCATTTCTCCATTCTTATCAAATCAGTGACTGCTGCCTCAGAATTAGAGCTTTTCAGCTTTTGCTTGTAATTAAGTAGAAAGGTCATAGATCTGTCACCTCACCACTTAAAGTTTACACAAAAACTAGACACGCTTAGCCAAAATTTGCTCTTGCTAGAAGAAATTCCATTTGATAAAATTAGATCTAATAACTATTTTTTATTTATCTTATATTTGGCTTCTGTGATTAAATAAAATCCCACTATGGTTTTGAATGTTCTAGTGTTAATCAAGTTAAATATTTATCATTTTTATGAGTCACAGCTTGACAAGTATATGAAGTTCACATGTACATAACTTTATAAATGACTGGATAAAAACAATACTTTTAGATCTTGTTGGGATTTCTTGACTTCACAGTTTCAAAAAATCTATCTTGCTTCTACTTGATGCTAGTTTATTTAACAGAATTACAGTTTTTGGTTTTTAATATTGGGAGCCGAGATGGAAAGCGAATGTTAACAGGAATGATGCCTGGCCAAGCATAATCAAAGCAGGCTCTTTAGTTTTAATTTTCCATGGGAATGAAACAAGATGAAGTCTAATATTTTTCCAATTTTGGTACTTTTTCCTAAACAGATTATGAAGCAATTGTGAAGCTTTCAGATGGCTTCAATGGAGCAGACCTAAGAAATGTCTGCACTGAAGCAGGTAAAGGTTTAAAGTTCTATACTGTTGTTTTTTATTTTTCAAATTATGAACAGTCTGGGTTTACCCCAAATCAGAGCCTGTGTCTTGCAAGGATTTGAATATAAATTTTTATTTGTTTTATTTTTAGAATTTATTGCAGAAAACAGGAAAAAGAGAACAAATACATTAAATAGAGAGAGGGAAAGCTAGTAAAACAGTATGCTGTTGAGGCAAGGGGAGTTTTTATTCTAAGGAGACCTCTGAAAAATATCTTGAATATTTTCCAGAGTTATCCACTTGAAAGGTAGAAGGCTAGACATTTATTATTTGTCATTTCCCATAGGATGAGACTTGACCTTGGGGACACTAATTGTTTTGTACCTTAGGATGCCTTGGGATAGAATGTGGAAAGGCATGCAGGTGTTAGGTCACCTGGAGGGAAATCTGAGGTGGTACTGTCTGCTCTATATGTGGTTTATATCAGAAGGGACCAGAACAGAAGAGTTCTACCAAAAAATAGATAACATGTTTTTTGCCGTTAGTCTGTGGGCAGTAAGCTTTGAAAGGTTGGTAAGAGGTTTGGGAAATAAAATCCACTGTGGAGTCAGTCGAACTCAATGCACATAACAACATAGCTGTGAAAAATTAATTGAACAGAAATAGTAGTTTTTAATAAATTCAAGCTACTGACTCAAAAGTATAAATCCCGATTTCTCCATATCTACTCTACTTGTTGTTGTTGTTGTAGTTGTTATGTTCCATCAATTGGAACCGCCTCATAGCTGACCCTCTGGTGGGTTTTCAGAGGCAGGAAATCAAATGGGAAAAGATTGCCAGCCTTCTCCTGAGAAAGTTGGTGGATTTGAATTTGTGCCTAGGAGTTGGCAGTGCAACTCCTTAACACTAGGCCACCAAAACTCCCTGAATGGACAAACACATAATTCTGATTGTGTATGTGTATAAACCATCATATTGTTTTGTTCTCCTCAGGTATGTTTGCAATTCGTGCTGATCATGATTTTGTAGTACAAGAAGACTTCATGAAAGCAGTCAGAAAAGTGGCTGATTCTAAGAAACTAGAGTCTAAATTGGACTACAAACCTGTGTAATTTACTGTAAGGTTTCTGCTGGCTGCATGACAGATACTGGTTTAGTGTAAAAATAAAGAAAATAATGGATGTATTGGCACTGATCTCAATAAAAGTGTATGAATAAAAATATGTGGATAACAAAAATGAGTAACTCTACTTTTAAGATTGATACAGAAGAAATTGGTATGTTGATGTTGCATTTACTGCAGCAGTTTAAAAAGTGTGTTGAAGCTGTTTGTTTCTGCTGTGTAAGCATTTTTTAACCATTGAAAATGGTTTGAGGTAGTACAAGAGAGCATTTCTTAAAGACTTATTTTGTATCATTTATTCTTCATCCTAAAAACGTGAATAAAATGTCTTATTCAGTTCTACATATCTGCTTGTCTTTTCTAAGATCACTTTACTATGATCCTTTAAGTTGCTTATTAAGTAAAATACTTACTTTGTACCAAGATGAACTCATATTTAGATTATAGATTTAAAACAGTACATACATACATCAGTGTTCATAAAGTCATCTTGTATCATAATATAGATGTGTATGTGTATCTGTCTTGGTTCTGAAAGCCTTTACCTACTCCTTAGTTTTTAATTATTCTGTTTCATATATAATTGAAATAATTCATGTATATATTAAGCAATTTTTTAAGATTATAATTAAAAGTAATATTTGCTAAATAAATGTGAATTAATTTTGGCTTTTTTATTTATTTGAGTAGATCATTCCATTTTTCATCTTTTAATCTTTGAACCTCTTCAGAATAATTCATATATGTGCATGTACAATACAGTTTTGTATATAGTGTGGGTTTTTAAAAAATTTTTTTTTTTATTTTATTTTTTGTGTGTGTGTACCATCAAATTGGATCTGACTGGTAAAGGAGGAGATTGTCCCTCCTTCTCCAGCAGAGCATCTGGTGGATTTGAACTGCATACCTCTGGGATTGCAGTGCAGCTTCTTGCCACTAGGCCACCAGAGTTCCCTTTATAATGTGAGTTTTGAAGATTCATTATTTCCTACTTTGATCTTTAGACTTTATTTGTATTTGTAGATACCAATTTAAGAGTATCTTAGAGATGAGATGTTGATATTGGAAATGTTCAAAAAAACAATCTTATTATCTATACATTCAGAAAACAAACCCATTGCTATTGACTTGAAATGGACCCTCTAGCAGGTTTTCAAAGACTAAACCACATGGGAGGAGGCCACTCATCTTTCTCCCTCAGAGCAGATTTTAACTGTCTTCCTCTGGGTTGGCAGCACGAATTCTCACCCACTAGAACACCAGAGCTCTCTAGACTGTCTCATACTAGGTGACAGTAAAAATTTTATAGGAATCATCATTGGTCATCAATTGAGATTATTTTATTAAAAGTTGTTTACATTCCTCATTTCAGGAGGTGGCATGTGATCTAGCTTCTATGGTACTGAAGGAAGAAGTCTAGACTGTAGTGAAGGCATTGGTGACAAAATAGATTCCAGGAATTGATGGAATACCATTTGAGAAATTTCAACAAATAGGTGCCACAGTGGGCTTGCTCATTCATCCATGCCAAGAAATTTGGAAAACAGCTACTTGGACAACCTACTGTTAGAGATCTGTGCTGCTTATGCCTGTGCCAAAGAAAGGTAATCAAGAGAAAAAGTAGGATTTTGAAGAAAGAGAATTCCAGAATACTTAAATTGTGCTCTTGTAGAATCTACATAGAGCAACAGGCAGGACAACTGTTTGAATAGAACAAGTGGACATTATATGATTGAAAATCAGGAAAGGTGTGTTTGTGAGGTTCCGCCACCGTAGTCTGTGCTGAGTAGATAATCCAAGAAGTTCTATCACATGCAGAACTACAGCTCTGGATTGAAGGAGGACTCCGTAGCAACCTGTGATATGCAGATGACACAGTTTTGGTTGCAAAAAATGCGGAGGACTTGAAACATCAATGAAAGCTCAATAACTAATTATGGTAATCCATTCTCAGTGTAGATTATACTCCAACATTAAAAAACACAACACTAAATCCTTTTAACAACAACCTACATCATAAGAAAAGATTGACTTTAAGGATTTCATTTTACTTGGATCAACAATCAATACCTATGTAAACAAGCAAGAAACCCAACACAACTGTTTATAAAAAACAAACCTACTCCAGTTTCACAAGCTAAAATGAATATTGCATGTTATAATTAATTGTAATTATTCAAATTAATTAAAATTTATCACCCACAGTAATGTGTGTATTTTTGTACTTTTAAAAGGCAACACTCTTTAGGCCATTCTATTTAGAGAAAATGCAACTCTCTGGACCATTCTATTTCTATGTATGTTGACAATGTAGTTCATAGATCCAACAACCAAACCCACTGCCAGTGAGTCCCATTTCTAATCAGGATGGAGTATAGATGCCCTATAGAGAATTTAGACAGAAGCAGCTTCTTTTAGCAGCTCATGAATTTGAACTACTGACCTTTCATTTAGTCTCTCAGTTTATGTTCAAAACATGAAGCATATACCTCAGTAGAAAAGCCAGTTGTCTCCCTTCAAGAACTGATTCCTGAAAATATGTCCAGAGTAAGACGAAGTTACGTCATTCTTGTCTATAAGGAGCACTCGGGTTGCACTTTGTTCAAGACAGATTTGTTTGGTTTAAAAAGTTCAAGATACTCTGAAGGCATTGGCATTATTAAGACCCTAAGGATTGATTGGCATCTTCTCCCATAAAGATGCAAGCCCTGGACATGCTCACAAGGCTGTTGAAAGAAACCTAGAAGACTGAAGAGATCTGTATTTGTTCCCATTAAAAAAAAAATTATGCAAAACAGTGTGGAAATCACTGAACAACATCATTAATATCATAAAGGAAAATAGCTAGAAGGATACATAAACAGGGAACTGTCAGAAATTGAAGCTAAATTTAAAAGCAGTCTTACCCTTGCTGATGTTAGATGGATCTTGGCAGAAAGCAGAGAATACCAGAAGGTAATCTTGTTTTATTGACTGTGAAAAAGCATTTGACTGGGTGGACTATGACAAATGATGGCTAACATTGAGAAGAATGGGAATCCCAGAACACTTAATTGTGCTTGTGCAAAATTCATACCTAGACCAAGAGGCTGTTGTCTGAACAGAGCAAGGGAAGACTGCTTGTTTTAAAAAGGTGCATGTTGGGGCTGTATCTTTTCTTTTTAACCATACCTATTCAACCGTATGCTAAAATTATTTGAGAAGCTAGACTCTGAAGAAAAACGTGTTATCAGGATCTGATAGGAAAATTCATCAATAACCTCTTCTGCAGAAGACACAGTCTTGCTTACTTAATGTGAGGATGACTTGAAGTATTTACTGCAAAAGATCAAAGACTACAGCCTGCAATATGAATTACATCTCAACATCAAGAAAACAAAAATCCTCACCAATAGATGACATCATGATAGGTGAAGAAAAGATTGAAGTTATCAACGATTTCATCTTACTTGGATCCACACGTTCACTCTTAGTATGAGCAGTCAAGAAATCAAAATACAAGTTACCTTGGGAAAATCTTCCGTCAGGGGACCTCTCTACAATGATGTCAGTTTAAAGACAATGGTGTGCCTTATTCCAGCCATGCTGCTGTGTACAATCAAGTCAGAACCAACCCATAGCTGGCCCTGTGGTGGGTTTTTAGAGGCAGTAAATTACACAAGAGCATGGAAGGAGGAGTGGCATCCACTTCCATAATAGCTTGCCTCCGGAAACCCTATGAACCTGGAGAGAGGATGAAAGGCACCCAAGCATCGAGGACTCTCCTCCATAGGGTCGCTATGAGTCGCCTGCGACTCTATGGCACTTAACAACAATAACATCAACAGAGAGAGAGAGATCAGCTGGTCCAGTGAAGAGAAAACGATGTGACCAAGACAAAGGTATGTGACTTAGTTTGTGGCCCTCTGGCCAGTCTTTCATTATTTTTGTTCAGACATTCCTCTAGGTCGTAGAGCCCTGGTGTACAAGTTGCCGTCCCTGCGACTCGACGGCACTTAACAACAACAAATTACACAAGAGGAGATTGCCTGTCTTTCTCCCATGGAACAACTAGATTTAAACCTTACACCTTGATCCGAGCCATGATCTTCTCAATTACATGCTATGCATCTGAAAGTTGAACAATGACTAAGGATGGTGAAGAAGAATCAATGTGGTATTTGGAGAAGAGAACTGCCAAGAGAAGAAACAGGTCTGTTTTAGAAGGTGAAACCACAGTTACATAGAAATACAGAGACAGAGATGCAACCAGAATACTAAGAGGCAAGGATGGCATAACCTCATTTCACAGAGCATGTTGTTAGGAGAGGCTAGTCCTTGGAGAAAGACATCATGCCTGGAAGAGGGGAGGGACAGAGCAGGAGAGGAAGATTCTAGATGAGATGTATTGATACTATAATTGGGGTAATGAGGGTAGGTGTGTAGGAGTAAGTGAGATTGGCTCAGTATAAGGCAGGCTTCTCAATGAACTCAATGAGTTGCAGGCAACTCTGAGTTGCAGGCAACTCAATGGCACATAAAAACAAAATATTTAGATATATTTAGACAAAGAACCAGATTGTTCCTTATAGGCCAGAATGGTGAAACTGTCTCATTTACTCCTTTAGCTGTTTTCTCCTGGAGGAACCAGTCCTTGGAGAGAGACTTCATGCTTAGAAAAGTTGAGTGAGAGTGGGGGAAAGAGAAGACCTTCAATGAGATGGATCAGTACAAAGTCAATGAAACAGACATTATTCTATTGCTTTCTGTTTTCAGCCAAGATCCATCTGAGATATATATATATACACACACGCATACATACATGCATATGCCTAATACCACGGCCTCTTCTAAACAGGCAGTTCTCTATTCCAGTCGTTTTTGGATCATTTTCAGCAGAATCTTGCTTACAAGTGGTATTAGTGATACTGAAAGATGGGCAATCTCTCGTAATGATACTAATGATATTGTTCAATAAGTTCTGCTTTCTGTTGGTTCACCTGTCTTTGGAATGGGAACAAATGGGATCTCTAGTCGGCCAAATGGTTGGCCTACAGATTTCTTGGCATAACTTTGTGAGTGAATCCAGGGCAGCGTCTGTTTGTTGAAATATGTCAGTTGATATGCTGTCAATTCTTGGGGCCTTGTATTTTGCCAATTCCTTGAAAGCACCTTGAACTTACTTCATCACCACATACTTTGGGTATATTGTCAGGAAGGGTCAGTCCTTGGAAAAAAGATGTTATGCTGGAAAGGAAAAGGATCAGAGAAACCAGACTTTCAGCAAGATAGATTGACAGTTACTACCACAGTGGCCTTGAACATGACAGAAATCATGAGGATGGCGCAATATACCGCAAACATTAGATCTGTTTTTGTTGTTTATCCAGTTCCTAAAACGTGTTACACTGGGGAAATCTGCTGTCAACGGACTGGATCTTGGGAGGATGCCGCAACCCTGTTCATAGGGTCCTTCTGAGTAGTAGACTAGATGGTACCTAACAACATTATCATCAACTTGCTTTAAAAAAATGAAAATAACCCAAAACCCCATAAACCCACTTTCCTAGTGGCGTCTATCTAATCTGAGCCATTATCAGTTTAATTTTGCATAGAATGATTTTAAAAGAGCTGAAATCCTGTCAGACTGCCTGCCTTTCCTTACCCTTACTCTCCTCCTCCCACTTCCAGCTCCGCCTCCTTCACTCCGAGGATCTCGGGGCCCAAACGCCTTAATACCCCGCCCCAGTCGCCCCACTGCGTCTGCGCCCAAGCGAAGGGGCGGGGCAGTAGCGCTCTGACACCTGGCAGCGGTGGAGGGAGGGGCGGAACGTGAGCGTGGATTGCGATTGGCTGAGGCGGCGTGAAAGGGCGGGGAAAAGGAGGGGAAACGGTTGTAGGGCTCGTGTCTGTGTGTGAGCCCGGGCGGCCTGAGGGGCGGCGGAGACACAGGGGGAGGGAGAAGCAGAAGCATGGCGGCTCGCTGTGGGCCGCCCTACCCTCTTCTTCACTGCTGTCGCCGCCGCCGCCGCCGGGAGCCTTTTATCTGCATGTGTTAGTTGTAAGCGTGCAGCCCACGCACCAGCGCTCGGGTCTACCGGCTGTCCTCTCGCCGCCACTGCCAGTCTGAGAGGTCGACTGGGGAACTCGTCCTTCCACCCCACCCACCAGCCTGCGGGCGGGGACCATGGAGGACATGAAGCTGGAGTTCCCTTCCCTTCCACAGTGCAAAGAAGATGCCGAGGTGAGCTCTTGTCCGGCGATTGCCACGCACAGGCCTCGCCATGTGGATTCTCGCCCGAGGGACGACCCCAGGCCCCAACCGTCGAAGTTTCCCGCTCGGTCGGCGCTTGAGGGCGTCCCGGGACTGCGGGCGGATCCTGCCGCCGGGGCGATCGCCGTCCCGGGCAGCCGAGTTCCTCTCTCTTCCTCTCCCGGCGCCTCGCTGCTGGCTGTTCTCTCCACGCGGGCAGCTCACCTCGCCCTAGGCCGTGAACTTGGACCAGAGTACCCCTCACTGCTGATACGTGCACCAAGTTATTCTTTATTCCCATCTTGAGGCGTCGGAGTTGTTCAGGACTCACTTGTGGGGCCACATGTGACTTCGCATGTGGTGTCGACCTGACACCTGAACTTTACGAATGCATGTTGGAAAAGTTTGCCAAGGGGTGGGGTTTTTGTTTGTTTTTAAAAGAAAGACCTTGTCTAACGGAATTACATGTCACAGAAGTAGCTCATTTGAAATCTGAGTACTTCAGAGTCAGTTAATATTGGAAACAATTCTGGGCCACTATAATTCCAGGTTTGCCCAGTGTTTAGATTGGGATTTTAATTTTCCACCTATTGTGTTCCTAGTTTAAGTTACTTTATGATCATGCAGATTAAGAATTTTTTAAGGCTAAGTTTAAATTAGTAACAAGGCAGATACTACAAGTAATTGGAAAAATCAAAACTCCATTTTACAGAGATTATTCGATTTACACTGAGTACTTAATTTTATTGCATAGCTCCATTTGGGATTTTCTTTCATTGGAGGGAGCATTGCTTATGGTAATGATGCTTGAGTGATCTCTGGCATAGTCGGTAGGAAGTTGCACTGCTAAGGCAAAGGCTGCACTTTCTAATACACTGGCAATTCCTGGGGAGGAAAATGGGCATCTCCTCCCATGCAATTTAAAACCTCCAGAAAAATGATTATGAGTTGGAACCACTGGTAATGGGAGTTTTGTGTTATTTTTGTTTGTTTTTCAGAATAATATTGAAAATTGCATGTTGTAAAGAGGATAATCTTCAAAGGGAAGTTGTATTTGGGTTAAGTTTTAGGCTTTTATAATCCTCAAGTCTATCACTATATACGTAAAATATCCCGGCAAAAATGAGAAATTCTTACTGGGAATACAATTTTTTGTCATTCATCTGTACAGCACTGGTAATACTCAAAATCTGGTAAATAATGATGTGGTTATTATCTGTGGAAACCAATTTAATTCTTAAACCCAAACTGAAACACTGGAAATGCTTTGTGTGTGTGTGTGTGTGTGTGTGACTGTCAAATCGGATCTGACTGGTACAGGAGAATATTCTTCTCCTTTTTCAGCAGAGCACCTGGTGGATACAAACCGCTGGAAAGGCTTTTTAATAAGTGTTTGGCAATTTACATGAGCAATGACAAGTACCTGTCACATACCATTCTTTCCTCTTTCATGCAATACAAAGCCTTTCTCCACTTGTTGTTGTTGTTGTTGTTATGTGTACAACAGCCCTAAACCCTGCTCTATCCTGTGCCAATCTCACTGCCTCTGACACACCCATCCCGATTACCCTAGTCACTGAATCAATCCACCTCATAGAGGTCTTCCCCTCCTGCGCTGTCCCTCCACTCTGCCCAGCATGATGTCCCTCTCCAAAGACCTGTCTCTCCTTACAACATGTCCAAAGTATGAATCCTTGCCTCCAAGAAGCAGCCTGGTTTAACCCTCTCTAGGATGAATCTATTTGTTTTCTTGGCAGTCCATGGTACATTCAGTACTCTTCTCCAGCACCACAGCTCAAAGGCGTCAGTTCTCCTTCTATCCTCCCTAGTCATTGTCTCCACTTTTTAGGTATCTAAACAAGGTGTTTTAGGTATTTGCTGTCAATTGGACTTGGCTTTAGAGAATAAAACAAATATATCTGACAACATGAATTTACAAAATTACCTCTTAGAGGACACTTTTGGGTTCTGTCCACCTTATGAAAATTTTGGAAGAATTTTAAAATATAAAACTTTTTAAAGTCACAAATCGATATGTCACAGTTTTGATAGGTACTTCATGTCTTTAATAGATCTATTTGTGTAGTGTTACTTACGTTTGTCTCTTTTTTTAAAAGGAGTGGACCTATCCTATGAGACGAGAAATGCAGGTATGACAAGTTGTTTTTATGTTCAGGTCATTAACATCATCATTACTAAACAAGTTGACCCCATTCCACGGAGGATTTGAGATTCACCTATCAGTAAGTGGGTTCATCTCTTAGTATTTGAAATATCCACATATTTAAGGTGAATGATGGATCTTAAAAAAAAAAGAAGACAGAAATGTACAGAGTTAATGTACATTTCACAGGTAACATACAAAAATGTACAGAGTTAATGTATGATTCACAGGTAACATACAAAATGATTGAGATGGTAACAGCATTGAGGTGCTTTACTCGAGTAGGAAAAAGTTGTATTTTCAAAGATAGGAATTGTAATTTTACTAAGTATTCAACATATTAGTCACAGTCTTCTCCAATATCCATATAATTCAGTCACTTCTTTGCTCTTTGATGTTAATTTGTTGTTGTTAGGTGCCATCAAATCAAGTATGACTCATTGCATCCTTGTGAGCAACAGACCTAAACCCTAGCCTATCCTGTGCCATCCCGACACAAGATCTGTGGCTAGAGCTGCTTACTGGTGGGGGGGCAAAATTATGGTGAGACTAGCCAATCACCTTGTGGAATAGTGAGATAGCCAGTTCCCTTGTGGATAAGCTAACAAACCCTATTTGCATATGCCTGCACATCCACATGGTTAGGTCAGATTAAAATGGCTAGGAAAACCAAATTGAATGACAAACTCCATAGGGGCCTTCGCCCAAACTTCTGAAAGACTGAGAGAAGATGCCTTAATTTGGAGGGCTAAGGGCCAATCCTTGAAAAACATCATGCTAGGATAGATTGAGGGACATAAAAGAGCTGAAGACTCAACCAAATGTGTTGATTGACGTTGTGAGTAACAATAGGTTAAGGCATATGGTAAGACTGATAGCACTCTGTCACTAACAGATCTGAACCCTGTCCTAACTCATGTCATTCTTATCATCTCTGACATACTTGAGCCCATTCCTATAGTCACTATGTCAGTCCATCTCACTGAGGATCCTCCTCTTTTTGATGATTCACCACCTTTCCAATCTTGATATCCTTCTCCAGGCAATAACTTCTAGTAACATTCCCAAAGTATGTGAGATGAAAGATTCATTATCCTTGCCTCCAAGGAGCATTCTGGCTGTACTTTGTGTAAGACCATGTATCTGTTTGTCCTTTTGGTGGTCTGTGGGATATTTAGTTCTCCAACGCCACAGCTCAAAGGCATTAATTCTGTCATTCTTATTCATTGTCCAGCTCTCAGATGCATAGCAAATGCTTGAAAAAACTAGATAGCCTGATTGGGGCACACCTTAGTCTTGAAACTGATACTGTAGAGTTTAGAAAGCTGTAAATTATTTTTCAGTTGTCTGTGCCAGAAAATTTAGAGCACAACTGCCTGTCTGACTGGAAGAGATAATTATCTGTTTACCATTACCAAGAGAGGTGATCCAATAAACATCATTAATATTACATGCAAGCACAGTATTGCTGCAGATCATCAAAAAGTAACTAAAACAGTACATTGACAGTGAAATTCCAGAAGTTCAACTTGATTTTAGAAGAGGCTGTGGTACCAGGGATAGCATTGGTGATGTCAGATGGCTCCTGGCTGAAAGCAGAGAATGCCAGGAGAATGTGTGTTTGTGCTGTATTTATGCAAAGGTGTTTGACTATGTGTGTTAGAAGAATGGAAATCCCAGAATGCTTAAATTATGCTTGTGCGAAACCTATTCCTAGACCAAGAAACTGTGGTCTGAACAGAGCAAAGGAACACTGTGGTTTAAAATTAAGAAAAGTGTGCATCAGTGTTGTATCCTTTCTCCATATCTACTTAATCTGTATGCTGAGCAAATAATTTCAGAAACTGGGCTCTGGTATCAGGATTGTAGGAAGACTTATCAACAGCTTGCTTTGTGCAGATGACACAACCTTGGTTGCTGAAAGTAAGAAGACTTGGATTGCTTGTTGCAGAAGATCAAAGACTAGCCTTCAATATGGATTGCATCTTAAGAAGACAAAAGTCTGGCCCGTCCTGGTGTCTGAGTGATTCCCAGGGCCCAGCAAAAAAGGGACCGAGCTTCCAGGTCAGCGACATCGGATGCCTTTCCCGCTGTCTCTCAGAGCTGAGCTTTGAAGACAAGAGGAAACACTCCCAAATAAGGACTCATTTTCCACTCCACCTTCATTGGCTGAGCAGCTGCTAAGAACAAAGGCCGCATCTCCTGATACCTGGCAAACAAATGCAGCATTGCCTCACGAATTGACTGCTTCTCCGGTGCCTACGAGTGTATTTGGGGAAAAGCTTCGCAAGCAAGTTGAGGAGTGACTCTCCTTCTGTGAGACTGGAGAGATTCCATGGAAAAACTTAGACGTCATGAAAGAAGCCATGGTTCAGGCAGAAGAAGTGGCTTTTGAGATTACCAAGAAGCTGGAGAAAAAGGAGAAGAAGCGCTTGAAGAAGGAGAAGAAACGACTGGCTGTGCTTGCGGCTTCAGAAAACAGTGGCACTCTTGAAGATCAGGAATGTGAGGAAACCGAAGAAAAACCCAAAAAGAAGAAAAAGAAAAAGCCCCAGGAGGCTCCACAGGAGAATGGAATGGAAGATCAGTCCAGCTCTGCTCTCCCTAAACCCAAGAAAAAGAAATCTCTGTCCAAGGAATTGGTCAACAGTGACTTTGAAGAGCCAACTGTAAATGCAAAAGTCCCAAAGAGGAAGAAAGCTTCCTCCAGAGAGGAACCAGAAGACCCTGAAGAGGTTGCAGACAGTGTCCCAAAGAAAAAGAAGAAGCTTTCTAAGGAGGAGCCCATCAACAAAAGTACTAAGAAAAAGAAAAAAATAAAAAAAGCACCCCAGGAAGATTAGAATGGACATTCCCTGGGGGTGGGAAGGGCATACCCAAATGTTTCCCAATAAAAAACTGTTTACAAAAAAAAAGTGAAGACAAAAGTCATTGCCAAATATTTTTTCCAAGTCTTTGGCTTCTCTTTTTACCCTGTTGGAGAAGTTTTTGAATGTGCAAAGGAATTTTATTCTTAGAAGGTCCTATTCATCTGTTTTATCCTCTCCTTGTTGTAGGTTATTCAGGATGCTTGGAAGACTGTTTATGTTGTGGATTAGGGTTTCTAGAGTTCTCCCAAGCTTTTCTCTAATAAAGTTTATAGTCCTTGGTTTTAGTCGTAGATCCTTGATCCACTTTGAGTTGGGTTTTGTGTATAGAGTGAGGTGTGGGTCTTGCTTGAGTTTTTTTACAGATAGTTTTCCAATTTTGCCCAAACTGTTTGTTAAAAAGGCTGTATTTTCCCCACTTAACTGAGGGACTTATATCTAGAATTTGTAGAATACTCCAGCACCACAACAAGATAAACAACCCGATTGAAAAATGGGCACAGGATATGAACAGACACTTTACCAAAGAAGACATTCATATGGCTAACACACACATGAAGAAGTGTTCAAAATCCCTAGCTCTAAGAGAGATGCAAATCAAAAGAATTATGAGATACCCTATTACCCCAGTAAGAATAGCAAAATTCAACACAGCAGCAAACAACAAATGCTAGTGAGGTTGTGGAGGAACTGAAACCCTTATTCCCTGTTGGTGGAAGTGTAAAATGGTGCAACCACTATGGAAGGCAGTATGTCACTTTCTCAAAAAGCTGGAAATAGAAATACCATCTGACCAACAGTTCCACTACTGGGAATATACCCTAAAGAAATCAAAACTGCCACCCAAGCAGATAAATGCAGACCCATGTTTATTGATGCTTTGTTCGCAATAGCAAAGACTTGGAAACAACCTAAGTGCCCATCAACAAATGAATGGATAGAGAAGTTGTGGTGTATTCACACAATGGAATACTATGCTACATTGAAAAACAACGAACTCATGAAATATTATACAAAAGGGTGACCCTGGAGGACATTATGCTGAGTGAAATCTCTCAGTCACAAAAGGACAAATGGGACTGACGTTGGGGTTGAGGGGAACCTAAGAAAAGAGGGAATAAATACTGTATATTGCAATGAAACAGATGAGGGAGAGAACTGTTTAAAGGGAATATAGGATTAGATATTTTCATGACAAGATTGTAGAAAAAGAAAAGCATAGTAAAGTGGACTGTGGACTTGGAGGGGATTGTATAACAGAATTTTTTTCTTTTCAAAGAGAAAAATTAACCGGGGGGAGGAGTGGGCGGGGAGGAAAATGTGCAACAAGAATGAATGGGGAAAAATAAATGGAAAGAATATGCCATAAAAAAATATATCAGTTGCATAAAAAAAAAAAAAAAGACAAAAGTCCTCTCCACTGGACTGATTCATGATAGAGAAAAGAGTAAAATTGTCAACAGTTTCATCTTGCTTGGGTACACAATCAATACCCTTGGTAAAAACAGCCAGGGACCTATTCAGATTACTGAGGAGTAATGATGTCAGTTTGAAGATTATGGTGCACTTCATTCAGGCCGTTGTCTTTTCAGTCACTTGCTATGCATCTGAGAGCCAGATAGTGAATAAGGATGGCAGAAGAAGAATTGATGCTTTTTAGTAAGAGTATTGAAGATCCCATGGACTGTTAAAAGAACATAAATGTCTTGCAGAAAGTGCAGCCAGAATGCTCCTTGGAAGCAAAGAAGACAGACAGAGCTTTGTCTCACACACTTTAGGCATGTTGCTAGCAGAGGCTGTTCCTTGTGGAGGGATATTTGGAAAGAAAGAGGGTCAGCAAAGAGAGGAAGGCCTTGAAAGAAATGGATTGACACAGTCAGTCCCTGCAGCAAGGGAACTCAAGTATGTCAGAATTGATGAGACTAAACAGGGTTCAGATCTGTTGTCTGTAGAGTCATTTTAAATTGTACTAGATGGCACCTAACAAGAACAAATTCCTCTACAGCTTGGTTGAATATGCTAAATGCAAGATGACCTGGAGAAAAGCTTGTTGAGAGAATCGGGCTGTGGTTTCTGGGGCTTTGTGGTTATCATTGTTATTGTTTGTTATTAGGGTGCA